ATTATAGTTAATGAAAACTATTTATTTTGATATACATACATACATATATTATTATTATCCATTTATTTAATAAAAAAATAGTACCTATTTTATATTAATTTATGTACTATAAGATTAAAGTGGCTTCTAATTTTATTATTTTCCAATTAAATTATGTAATTTATACGTCATAAATCCTATCACTTTGATTGACTATTTATTAAATTTAAATAATAAAAAGAAGTATAAAAATCTTGTTAATAATTTTTTCATCATTATCATCATTCATATTATTTATTATTAGTAGCTAGCACAATGCACTACCTATGTATAATGTATAAATTATGTCTATTTAGTTGATTACTGTGCAGACAGGTACTTATTCAGTTTGTTCTGAAAATAGTTTATAATAGTTTGTTATTTTATTCTTTACCGTTGTCATTTTGTGGAATAATATTGCAAATAATTATCACAACTTGAAATATATTTGACTCTTTAAAGTATGTTATAAATTATTTCATAAAATGAATCCTATACGTCAATGCATTTAAGTAATATGAAAGAAAATTGCACGATTTCTTTCAATAACGATGACGTCGTCCTTTAGCGCCATTGGAATTTTAGCCTGCGTAAACTATCGACTGGTATTTTATTAAGACTAGTGGCGGTGGCATTGACGGCCAATTTTCGCCTGTCCCTTTCGGTTGAAGATATATATAACTTCAAAATTGAAAAATATCAGCTCTGGAATTCCGTACTTATGGTACTGCGGAAAAGTAGGAAGGGAAAGGGTGATGATATCCTGAGAAATTTTTAGAATACCTTTTAGCCGTTTATGTGGATAAAAATGTCGTCGCCCATCGTTTATTCGAAATACAAAAAACAACAAAACCGGCGGGACACGTTCAAAACACTCGTATAGCTGGCCGACGGCGTCAGATAACTTAACACTATAGCCAGCCACAAGCACACTAGTGAAATCCAATACAAGGCTTGTGTGAACGGATTTTAATTAATTCTCGTTAAAAAGGATTCTCTCTCTCCAGCGGTGTGGTGAGTCGCGGCAGCGGCGTTGTTACGTTTATATAAAAGCGGATTAAATTCCCCGACACCCAGGGACAGACCGGCGCCTTTCACTCGTACGCTGCCGCCACCGATATTAATTTGCCAGCTCTAACGCTCTTATACAACTCACCATAGAGAATAGGAAAAGGAGGACAAAAAAGTAATACCCTCGCCGACATAAAAAAAAAAATAAAGCGAATAAATAAAACGCCGTAACTGTTTTCGTTTATACTTAGCAAGAGACTAAATAATTTAATTGTATTGTGTTGGTCTCCTGGACCGAATAAATTGACAGATAACTGAGTAATGAATGTTTTGAATTATTATTCGTCGTCAGTGTAAAATAGTGGGTTGTATTGGAATAAGAGCGCATTTTTTTTCTATATCATATACTTTAATAGCAAACTATTTACCATTGTGAAAAACAGATATTTCGAACAGAATGCAAACGAGTTGGATGAAATGTATTATTCAAATTAATCAAAAACGCACTGCATTACTACAAATAATACATTTGCTAGACAGGGGTTCGATTGAATGTATTTTATTCTGTATGATATATAGACTGCTCAGATATATTTATTTAAACGAGACGATTTCTTAAAGATTTAATTATCATTATTCTTAGATGTTTTCAATTAAAAAATGCCATCAATAGATTATCGCCATTAGTTGATTTCTTATCCATGTTAAAATAATACAATTAGAAAAAAAAATCGATTTTTAATTTTTTGCTCTGAACTCGTTGAAATTGAAAATTATAATATTAGATAAGTATTAATATTTAAATCAAACAAGTTTGACATCGTTGTGTTGTCAAAATTTTTCAATTGAATAGATATTACTGTATTAGTTATGATTTGATGAAGCATAACTTTTTCGTTGTATGGTTATTGTACAAGAACTTTCAGTACCTAACGAATTTTTTCTCGTAGATAATTAAAAATAAAATTTGCTCAACTGGGGGCTTATTATTGTGTTATTTGATTGGGGTTAAGAATATGGTCCGAAAATCTAGTATCATAGTCGGCGGCAATAGTGGTGTTCAATTACTTATTTAAACGGGAATTCTGGAACATTGGAAGTTAAAATG